AGGAGTCTCGAAATGGTCGAGACATAAAGATCGATATATTGGAAGCCTATGTTTGGATATCGGAAGTGTTCCGGGTGAAATCGGGATTTTACCGGAGTACCGGGAGGTTACCGGAACCCCCCGGGAGCTATATGGGCCTTAGTGGGCCTTAGTGGAAGAAGAGGAGAGGCAGCCAGGGCTAGGCCGCGCGCCCCTCCCCCCTAGTCCGAATAGGACAAGGAGAGAGGGGGTCGGCGCCCCCCTCCTTCTCTCTCCCTCTTTTCCCACCTCGCGAGTCCTATTCCAACTAGGATTGGGGGAGAAGTCCTACTCCCGGAGGGAGTAGGACTCCTCCTGGCGCGCCCTATGATGGCCGGCCGGCCTCCCCCTCTTGAACCTTTATATACGGAGGCAGGGGCACCCCTAGAGACACAAGTTGATCCACGTGATCATATTCTTAGCCGTGTGCGGCGCCCCCTTCCACCATAGTCCTCGATAATATTGTAGCGGTGCTTAGGCGAAGCCCTGCGACAGTAGTACATCAAGATCATCACCACGCCGTCGTGCTGACGGAACTCTTCCCCGACACTTTGCTGGATCGGAGTCCGGGGATCGCCATCGAGCTGAACGTGTGCTAGAACTCGGAGGTGCCGTAGTTTCGGTGCTTGATCGGTCGGGCCGTGGAGACGTACGACTACATCAACTAAACGCTTCCGTTGTCGATCTACAAGGGTACGTAGATCACACTCTCCCCTCTCGTTGCTATGCATCACCATGATCTTGCGTGTGCGTAGGAAATTTTTTGAAATTACTACGTTCCCCAACAGTGTATTGTGGACTTTAATGAGATTCTTAGAAGAGAAGAGCAGATTGGTCCCAATGAGAGGGATGAAGCCCAAATGGCAGGTTTTTAAGAGGCTGCCGATGTTTGTGGCCTAGCTGACATCGGCTGCATAGGTATTGATTGGACGTTTGAAAAGAAAGTAAGAGGAGGGCAGTACTATCGTGTTCGGCTGGATAGGGCGCTGGTCTCAACGGAGTGGAGCTCCATGTTCCCGTTTGCCACTCTACGTCACTTACAAGCAGCAAAATCGGATCATTGCTCGATCGTCTTATGTAATGAGCTAGATGCTGTAAACAATCGTATTGCAATAAACAAGCCTTTCCGTTATGAGAAGATGTGGGAGACGCATGATGATTTTTACCCTATGGTTGACCGGTTTTGGGCGGCTGAGCAGGGCGAGACGCTACATGACCTGAAGACCAAAATGGAGCGTTTGGCAGGCTCACTGTCGAGTTGGGGCTCTAAAACCTTTGGGCATGTGAGGGTTGAGCTACGACGGCTGAAAAGGTGGCTGACTAATTTGAGATCAGACAACGCTAGATCTGGGCCATCCTATGAGGAGATCAAAGTTCAGGATAGAATCGTGGAGCTCAATTTTTGTGAAGAAATAATGTGGAGGCAACGGTCAAGAATTCAGTGGCTAGCGGAGGGGGATAGCAACACTAAAAAATTTCACCTAAAAGCTTCTATGCGGAAGAGAAGGAACCGCATATCTCAGCTTCGGCGGGAGAATGGTACTGTATGCAACGATGAGGAGGAGATTCGTGGTATGGCCAGAGAGTATTATAAAAACTTATATACATCTGAAGGTACTATAGGAATGGAGGAAGTGTTGTCCCACATACCTAGAAAGGTTGATGATGGTATGAATGACATGCTATGTGCTCCATTCAAAGATTCAGAAGTCTAGGAGGCCCTCTTTCAAATGTTCCCGACTAAGGCTCCGGGCTCGGATGGCTTTCCAACACATTTCTTTCAAAAGAATTGGGGCGTTTGTGGGGAAGAAGTTACCAAGGTAGTGCTACGGGTGCTTAATGGGGAAGAGTCTCCGGAGGTGGTTAATAGGACTTTCATGTCATGATCCCTAAGGTATTGAATCCAACCACCTTATCTCAGTTTCGACCGATCAGTTTGTGCAATGTGATCTTTAAAATTATTTCAAAAGTTCACGCCAACCGATTGAAAAGGATCTTACCAGAGATTATTTCACATGAGCAGTCAGCATTTGTTCCTGGGCGACTTATTACTGACAATATCATAGCAGCTTGTGAGTGTTTGCACTTCATGAAACAATCTAGGAGTAAGAAGAATTCGCACTGTGCGTTAAAACTGGACATGATGAAGGCTTATGATCGCGTGGAGTGGGAGTATTTGCAAGCAGTGCTGGAGAAGCTGGGTTTCAATTATTCGTGGGTGATGAAAATCATGGCATGTGTATCTACAGTCTCATTCTCAGTGCTAGTAAACGGGGATATAACAGAGGAGTTCAAACCCTCTAAGGGGATCAGGCAGGGAGACCCTATCTCCCCATATTTATTCTTATTGGCAGCATAGGGTTTATCTTGTCTGTTGAAATCAAAGAGTACCAATGAGGATGTGAAGGGAGTGGTGATAGCCCCAATGGCGCCCCCAGTTAACCACCTATTATTCGATGATGATTGTTTGCTCATGTTTAAGGCAAATTCAGGGGGTGCCTAGATTATTAGAGACACCATTCATCAATACTGTGAGGCATCCGGGCAGAGAATCAACCTCACAAAATCTAGCATCTTCTTTGGAAAGGGATGTCGAGAGGAAATAAGGAATGTAGTGAAAGGCATTCTGGAGGTCACCAATGAGTCACTCTCAGAGAAATACTTGGGCTTACCTACTAAGGTGTGCAGATCAACAAATGGGACTTTCAAGTATATAAAGGACAGACTATGGGGGAAGATTCAAGGCTGGATCGAGAGGTGTCTAGCAGCAGCAGGTAAAGAAGTCCTGATAAAATCTGTTTGTCAAGCAATATCAACTTTTTCCATGTCCTGTTTTCTACTTCCCCGAGGGTTGTGCCAAGCTATAGACACCATGATACGATAATTCTGGTGGGGAAGCAAAAATGGCGAAAGAAAGGCATCATGGGTCTCCTGGGATGTACTTACTATGCCTAAGTACATGGGTGGCTTGGGCTTCCGTGACACGCATCTTTTTAATCTTGCAATGGTAGCCAAACAAGCGTGGCGTTTGATACAAGATACTGAATCTCTAAGTGCGCGCTTGCTGAAGGCCGTTTACTACCCTTCTTGTGAAGTTTTAGATGCAGAGCTTGGGAATCATCCATCTCAAATATGGAGAGCTATTGTTCAGGGAAAGGCGGTCCTCAAGCAAGGCCTAGTTAGAAGAATAGGAAACGGGAGAACCACGAGCATTTGGAATGATAATTGGATCCCGAGGGATTTTATGCTATGTACTGTACATCCTCGGTCCACTAATCCACCTGAGTTGGTAGCAGACCTCATCGAAAGCGTGGAGAGGTGCTGGAACAGAGGAATAGTTCTTGAACACTTACAACCTATTGACGCCCGGGAGATACTTGGCATACCATTATCGACCATCCCTACAGATGACTGCTGGGCATGGTAGTATGAACGCCATGGCCATTTCTCTGTAAGGTCTTGCTACCGAATGTTTAAAGAAACCAAGAGGAGAAGAGAGGATTGGCTTGAGGGGATTGGAGGGAATTCAGATAGCAGTGCAAAAAAGCAACAATGGTGCGGCTTATGGGGGACTAAGGTTCCAGCAAAGTTGAAAAACTTCTTATGGAGGATGGCTCATAACTCAATACCAACCGAGGGAGTCAAATGTCATAGACATATTTCTGATTCTAGTTTGTGCAAAATATGCAATGGAGCCGAGGACAACTGGAAGCACGCCCTTATTGATTGTCCAATGGCAAAGTGTGTCTGGGCTATGGTGGATGAGGAGCTAGTTGAATATATGATAAAAATTCAAACCGGAGATGCAAGGCTATGGCTTGGTGAGCTTCAGCGGACAACTAATGAAGGTCAGTTTTTGAAAGCGATTGTGACACTATGGTCCATCTGGTGGGCTAGAAGGAAGGCCATTCATGAAGAACAATTCCATTCGCCTCATTCAACTCTGTGCTTTATCAACAGTTACATCACAGACCTGGCTCTAGTACCAAAGAAGCAAGAGGTGAAGCATAGGGTTTCGAGACGCACTAGCTCAGTGCAGAAGTGGCGTCCTCCTCCTGCTGTGGGTTGGGCGAAGATGAATGTTGATGCTGCGTTATCTCGCAATGGTGAAAGGGGAGCCCTGGCAGTTGTGAGCCGGATCATACAGGCTTCTTCCTTGGAGCATCGGCACTGATGTGCGAAAGTGTTACTGATCCAGAGATCCTAGAGGCAATGGCATGTTGCAAGGGGCTATCTCTGGCTCTTGACTTAAACCTGCCACAAGTTCAGATTAGCACCGATTGTTCAGCAACAGTCAAGCATATCGAAGAGGCATACTTGGGGCCCAGCAAAGTTATTATGGACTAGATCAAGATGAAGAAGAATATGTTCCAAACCATGGAGATCATACATGAAAAACACGAGTGTAATGTTGAAGCGCATGTGCTTGCAAAAGCTGCTACTTCTTTGCCCTGTGGACGCCATCTTTGGCTCACAGGAACCCTCGAAATTATTTGTATATCTACTATGACTGTTAATCTTTAATAAAGCAGCTTTTATCCCTAAAAAAAACCACAACCCGTGCAAAATGTGTGCGCGAAATGCAATGTATTGTGTGGCTCTAGCTTCACTGCAAGTAATGGTCAAACCTGCTGCTAGTTTGTCCAGTCATGCAGAATTTCTGGGCCACTATTGGCAACATCTAGATAATTTCTCAAGCTTAGGCTTCATTGGTCATACTTTTCTTCTCATCTGCTATTGCGTGGTTCTAGCTACACCATAAGTAATGGTCAAACCTGCTGCTAGTTTGTCCACTCATGTAGAATTTCTAGGCCAATTGGCAACATCTGGAGAATTTCTCAAGCTTTGGCTTCATTGGCCATACTTTTCTTCTCATCAGCTATCTATAAATACGCATGGCTCTGTCCTAACAAATTCACTCATCCTCCTACAGCAAAGCTCGAGCACAGCAAGAGCACTAAAGCTAACTAGAGCTTCCAGCAATGGCGACCTCCGCGGTGCTCTTCCTCCTCCTCGCTGTTTTTGCCGCCGGTGCCAGCGCGGCCACCTTCAACATCAAGAACAACTGCGGCTCCACAATTTGGCCGGCGGGCATCCCGGTGGGTGGGGGCTTCGAGCTGGGCGCAGGCCAGACGTCCAGCATCAACGTGCCCGCGGGCACCAAAGCCGGGAGGATATGGGCTCGCACCGGGTGCTCCTTCAATGGCGGCAGCGGGAGCTGCCGGACCGGCGACTGCGGCGGCCAGCTGTCCTGCTCCCTCTCCGGGCGGCCACCAGCAACGCTGGCCGAGTACACCATCGGCGGCGGCGGCACCCAGGACTTCTACGACATCTCGGTGATCGACGGCTTCAACCTTGCCATGGACTTCTCGTGCAGCACCGGCGACGCGCTCCAGTGCAGGGATCCCAGCTGCCCGCCGCCGCAAGCCTACCAACACCCCAACGACCAAGCCACACACGCCTGCAGTGGCAATAATAACTACCAGATCACCTTCTGCCCATGAAGGCTGTTCACGTCGCACCACGAATCAATAAAAGGCGTACGTAGATATACGGCCCTATAAATAAAAGGCGTGCTGCTTAATACATCACATTATCATATTACAACCACTGTACTACTACATGTTAGCCCACTACTATGAACGTTTCATTGATATTTGAGTACACAGTACAGGGCAATAAAAATTTACCTATCTACCCTAGATTGGACAGCACCCTGACCCAGTAGGGTCAGCCATTACTATTACTTGCTCATGCCGATGTCACGACTTTGACATCGGTGTGGCAAAGGAGCCACCCCATGTGCGTGAACAGCACATGAGGCCCTACGCGGGCCACTATGTGTACAGCTAGCTTGTTTGTTTCAACATCAAAAGAAGTGGACTATTCTCCTGCATGTTGATCTGTGGTGTTTGTTTTGAAGCGACTTGTTGTTCTTCTTTTCTTTCAGATTTGCATCATGTGAATAAAAATGAGATCAATCTAAGGGCTAACCCAACTTCAGCTGTCCAGTCAACGGGTCGACATCCTGTCGTCAGATTTGTGTCATGTCAAAGGCCTTTTTGCGGGCACGGAGGGGGAAAAAAGGCAAAGGATTTGCCACGGGAGGCGAGTTTTTGACCCGAAGCCTCTTCCTTTTCCTTTGCATCAAGTCAATTGGCTCACATCCTTTTTCCCCTGGTCCCATCAGCCAAGGCACCCAACATGAAATATCAACATGGATGCAGAGTTGGTTCGCTGCCGCAAGCGACGCTGAGAGAGAGTTCATGATCCAGGGACTATATGGGCTGTGGTTAGCAAGGAATGAGGTGGGAGATGGTAAGAAAATTACAGATCCCCGGGTAGTGGCAGAATGTGTTTTCAATCTTGCACTGGAGTGGCTCTCGGTGCATGCAAAACAGGCAATGATGCGAATGGAAACAGCATGGCCAAGGATGGATTAAAGTTAATACAAATGGTGCTATGTCGAAGGTGCAACACAAAGGGGGAGGCGGATATTAGTGCTAATCTTGTTACAAGGTCTGTCAGATATTGCATTAGACTTCAACTCCATGCATTTGTTCAGTATAGGCTAGTTTGTACGTGCATGCATTGGCTTTCTGTTTAATTAGTTCGCATGTACTCCCTCCGTTCCAAATTACGCGTCGCAGAAATGAATGTATCTAAAATTAAAATACATTTAGATACATCCAAACATGCGACAAGTAATTCGGAATGGAGGGAGTAGCAAATAACTAGGACCTGTCACGCGTATGTGCACGTACAGGCATAGATCGAGTCATAGTGAATTTGGTCAGCTTCCGAACGATTCTCCGTGGGATGGCGTGGGTAAAAAGGATCCTGGGGAGGTTTTGCATTGTAATCGGCCACGTTCAGTTGTGCGTGCTGCCGGAAAGAATAAGAGGAGAAAACAAGATAAGAGGACGGCAGTTGCGCCTTGCAAAATCTTGTGTCTTTGTGTTCCTCTCTCGTTTTTCCTCCACCGTGTAAGCGTCTGTACTCCGGCCTGTGATCCAACATTTGGTATACAGAGCCTAGTTGTGGCCGGAGGCGAATCGGCGGCGGTGTGTAGCGATGGGAGATCAGTCACCGAAAAAGAGTGACGCTGGTGGCGGCGAAGAGTACACGCCGCCGAGCAAGAGGCTGGGAACCAGAGGCACCGGCGATGGGATGATCATTGTGGCCACGCCGGCTGATCCAATACACGCAGCTGACAAAAGGTAATTATCAGTTGTAGGCAGGAAAGATGAAGATCATCCTCAAGCCAATGGGTGTGTGGTCTGCGATCACCAAAGAAGACGCCCATTAGGCCAAGGATCAAGGAGCCATGACTGATATCTCGCAGTCTATTCCCGACGACTTGATGATGTCCATCGTGGAGTACGAGTCAGCGAAGGAGGCATAGGCGATGAATGTGTAGTGCAGGCGCGCATCAGCCACTTACAAGGCGCTTCGAGCGGCTAACAATGGAAGATGGCGAAGAAGTTGGCGCGTTTGGGCGCCGACTCACCGCGCTCGTCGGAGAAATTTGAGCACTTGACGAGAACTTGTAGGAGTACGCTGTTGTCAAGCGGCTGTTCGCGGCGGCCCCGGATCGCTCCTGCCGATAATCGGGACAATCGAGCAATGGGGCGACGTCAAGAAGAATCGGTCGTCGAGGCCATTGGGCGGCTGCGGGTGTTCGAGGAGAACGATTCCGAGCGGCGCCAAGACCATGGCGACGACGGCGAGAAGTTGATGTTGGTCTCACGCGCGCAACTGGAGGCATTGGTCCGGGAAGAAAAGAAGAAGGGAGAGGGCTCCAGCAACGGCGGCAAGGATGGCGACTGGCGTGACAGTGGCCGCGACCGAGACGGCGACAAGAAAAGGTCCCGCTGCAAGTTCGACAAGTCGAACCAGCTTCGAGTGCGGGCAGAAAAGACACTTCAAGTCCGAGTGTGGGGTGTGGAAGAAAAAGAAGGCACTCCTAGCTGCTGCCGACGTGGACGACAAGCCGGCGCTGTTGATGGCCGTGGCATGTGAGGTTGCGCCAGTCGTGGAGGTGAAGGAGGTGCTTCGCCCCTTGGCTGTCGAGGCCGAGTTGGAGGCTGCTAGGGCCGAGGCTAAGCAATTATGCGGCAAGCTGGCCGAAGCCAATGCGAAGCTGTATCCTATGTCCCACGGGTACATGACAGAGGCAAAGGATGTAGCGGCTGCAAGTGTTGATGACGAGTATATGCTGCTCCTCGAGTCCGTGAAGGCTGAGATGCAGGAATCACAACGCCTGCTCCATGAAGAGAATGTCGAGCTGCATGTTGTGGTGAAGAATGCAATGGCAATTGCTGTGCAAGTTGGCACAGCAATGCTTGCAACAACACCGGCGGCAACGACAGTGACTCGTACCGGCTTGCAGTGTCCAGCGCCAGACCAAGAGAGGGTTCGTTCTTCTCGAAAACAAGGTAAAACCCAAGAGCTAGTATCATCCATATCTCAGTTATGCAAAGTGAAGGTGCATCCTGTAGCAGATTGAGTAGAGAGGATTTTCCTGCATGAAAGGAAAGTGAAGCCAAAACTGGGCTCTAGTGATGTGAATCATAAGAACACTTGGTATTTGGATAGTGGTGCGAGTAACCACATGACCGGCAGCCGAGAAAGTTTTGTTGTGCTGAATGAGTTCATAAAGGGAAGTGTGAAGTTTGGTGATAATTCAGTGGTGAAAATTCTTGGCAAAGGCACAGTGTTCCTCCAGAGTGTAAGCGGGCAGCAAATACTTCTTCATAATGTTTATTGTGTCCAAGCTCACAAGCAGTATACTGAGTCTTGGGCAGCTAGATGAAGAAGGGTGCAAATCAGTGCAACGCCATGGGTTCATGAGTGTATTTGATCCATAGATTAAGATCGCGGGAGAAACGATTTCGCGGCGGCCTCTCCCAGCAGCTATTGCGGCCGCCATAGCGGGCAATCGCGGCAAATAGCGGAAATTTTTCTGGTGGGAGAGATGATTTTGGAGGGTTTTACTGATTTTTGAGCTATTTAGAGGGATATATAGAGGATTTCGCGGCAGCTGCCATAGCTTAGCGGCAAGGCTCCCGGGCAGCTATAGCGCAGCTATCGCGGCTATTTCGCGGGCTATTTTAATCTATGATTTGATTGCTCTGGGAAGCTGCTAGCCAGAGCAAGGAAAACCAAGAATCGACTCTGTGCTGAATCTGAAGAAAGCGGCAGATGTATTCAATTCAGCTACAATGACAGCAGCTCAAAGCGGATGTTCTGCTCGGTGGCGCAAACGTGGAGCCGGCATGAGGGTGCTCGGTATGCAAAGAAATAAATTGAGTAACAAGATTAGGGAGATGATTGTTGGTGCTAATCTTGTTACAAAGTCTGTCAGATATTACATTAGACTTCAACTCCATGCATTTGTTCTGTATAGGCTAGTTTGTACGTGCATGTATTTATACGTGCATGTATTGGCTTTCTGTTTAATTAGTTTGAATGTAGCAAATAACTAGGACCTGTCACGTGTATGTGCATGTACAGGTATAGATCGTAGTGAATTTGGTTAGCTTCCAAACGATTTTTTGTCGGATGGCGTGGGTAGAAAGGATCATGGAGAGGCTTTGCATTATAAATCGGCCACGTTCAGTTGTGCGTGCTGCCGAAAGGAATAAGAGGAGAAAACAAAAAAAAGAGGACAGCAGTTGCGCCTCACAAAATCTTGTGTCTTCGTGTTCCTCTCTCTTGTTTTTCCTCCACCGTGTACGCGTCTGTACTCGGGCCTGTGATCCAACAGTGGAGTGACCCTATGGGATCATGAAGTATGGGGGAGGAGCTGCAACGTTCTTACCCCGCGCTACTGACCCTGAAGTTGCTGAAGTGTTGGCTGCAAGTAAGAGGGGGGTTAAACTAGCGACAGAATTAGGAGTACAGAAAATTCAACTGGAACTTGACAACAAAGGGGTTGTCTCCATGTTGAATGACCGAAGTAAGAATCTCTCAGCACTGGGGCCTTATATAGAGGAGATCAAAGAGATGCTTCGATCTACACAAGAGTACAAGGTTATCTGGACTCGGCATACAGCTAATCTAGCTGCTAATGTTTTAGCTAGAGAGGGTGTTAGCAATGATTTAGAGATAGTTTGGCCTGATGTGCCACCGGAGTGCATTTTACATATTGTAGGGAACGAGATTCCCGACGTTGTTTAAGTAATAAAGTTGCAAGTATACCTAAAAAAGCCAGATTTGGCTAATCGAGCAAAACATATAACTCTGCCTAATATGAACAAGAAATTTTGCTTATGATTTTTTTTGTCAAGACCTAGTTAATTAGTCAGAAACTGGTGAGTATATGATTAACGAGCGCTCCTTTGAAAGCCTCGCAACAATCAGCGCCACTCGGCACGCTCTCAGTCATCCGGCACATGTCGTGCTCTGGGCTCCCTTCAGATTTTGTTTTTCTTTTTTTTTTGCACGCGTTTTCGGCTTTTAAACCAGGTTTTTCGACGTTTTGGTTTTCCACCGGTCTTCC